CCTAAACCCTAAACCCAAAACCACCAAACTCTCCAAACTCTCCAGCGCAACCTCAGGGAGATGAGCGCAACGGCATTAGAGTCGGAGATGCCAGTCATTACAGAGGCCGGGGGTTTAGGGTTTAGGGTTTATGTGCAGGGTTTAGGGATGTTTAGAGGTTTGGGGCTCAGGGTTTAGGGCTTTAGGTTGTAGGGTGAGGGATTTAGGGTCTAGGGTCTAGGGTTTAGGGGGTCCCTAACCCTGGCAAGGAATTGATATGGACCGAGAGAAGTTGCTTATTATCCTAGCTAAGCCCTACCCTAAAAGCCCAACAAACTTTCATCCCCATAGAACGAAACTGCGAAATCAGGCTGGGGGGTGGAGTGCCGACGGTTGACCTTCAACCCCGGAACCCTTAAAGCCCCTAAGCCCCTAAACCCAAAAACCCCAAACTCTGAAACCCCTGAACTCTTAAACCTCTGAACCCATAAACCCCTAAACCCCCAACCCCTACCTCCTAAAGCCCTTCCCCCTAAAGCCAGGCACCCTGACCCGAGTCCCCTAACGCCTAACCACAGGCGCCTCAGTTGCTTTAGGCTTTCGGGTTTAGGGTTAAGGGTTAAGGGTGTAGGATTAAGGGTTTAGGGCTTAGGGTCAAGGGTTTAGGGTTTAGGGTTGTGGGTTAAGGGTTTAGGGTTTGGAGTTACGGGTTTAGGGTTTAGGGTTAAGGCACAAACCGCCAAAGTATTGATCCTTCAGCTGCTGGTTTTCAAAAGAGCCTTCTGTTTGGAAGAGTAGTGTAAAAACGGGTTCTTGCTGGTTTCGGGTCGTATTGTGTGGCTTCGTTTTTATTTCCTGAATCTCAACGACTCCTGTCCTCTTGAGAACTGTTGCCCCACAACATGAAACCTTAAACCCCAAGCCCTAAACCCTAAGCCCTGGACCCCAAACCCTAAAACCTTAAACCCTAAACCCCTCATGGGTAGTTCTCCAAATGAGGGTCTTTTTTTTGTGCCCAATGTAGTACGGCACCCTTATGAAAGGGACCCCCAAAGGGAGCCTGATTTTGAGAGCTACCTTCATGGATCCCAACGCCCTAGACCCTAAACCCTAAACCAATCCCTACACCCTATATAAACCTTATAAAAGCCTATCTAAAACCCTAAACCTTAAAACCCGCCGTGGAAAGGTAGAAGGAGCTCCGCACATCGCATTCGCAAAGAACGAGCTCCTGGCATTGGCTGCTGATCTCAGCACGATGTTTCAGAGCTTAGGGAGGTTTGGGGTTTAAGGTTTCAGAGTTCTGGGGGGGGGTTTAGGGTTTCGGAGTTCTCGGAACTTGGCACAAGCCCAGACGCGCAAAGCCTGAAATTCCTCAGCCCTAAACCCAGCTGTCTTTGGCTGAATGTCTTATAAACAGGGGCACCAACACTTATAGAAGGGCTTTTGGTGCGTATCAGAGCGCGTGTATGTTTAGACTAGGACCAGGAGCAGCATTTCCAGTTCCCCAGGCCCCAATTATAACCCGCACGCACCATTCCCTCGCGTGATTGAACGCAAAAAATCCCTAATCCCTAAACCCTAAACCCTAAACCCCTAAAGCCCTAAACCCTGGGGCGGGAACGCGGCTGTTCCTTCTTCGAGGTCGCAGAAAGATGAGGAGGGAGCCGGAGTTGGTTGTACTCAGCCGAAGTCACATAGGTTGGTACAGAATATTTTTTTGAAATCGTGATCTTGAGCCCGAAATCATCTAAGGTATAGGGTTTAGGGTTTAGGGTTTAGGGGTTTAGGGTTTAGAGTTTAGGGTTGGGGGTTTAGGGTTTAGGGATCTTGAGCCCGAAATAATCTAAGGACTCCCTACAGGAATCAATAGGTTCGGGGATGTCTCTGCTCGCGGGGTCACAGATCCACTTTCAGAATCCCGGCTACACGGTTTAGGGTTTAGGGTTTAGGTTCTGGCTAGCTTCTACTTCGCTCCCCAATACCCAATCTTTAAACTTGTTGGGCTCTTATAATTTAGTAGTAGTCTGCAAGGTTTAACCTTTTATTCCCTGGCTTATTGAGGAGGTAAGCTGAGCCTAAACCCTAAACCCTAAACCCTGGATGATAATTCAGTAGTAATCTGAAAGTTTAACCTTTTATTCCCTGTCTATCATGCGAACGGAAGTCTCATGGGCTCAATGTTACTACCACCACACCGGTTCCATCTGATCCATCAGCATGTTCCTGTAGGAACTCCCCTAAAGGAAGTGTGTGCTAAATGGGGCGGGGTTTGGATGGAAGATCTCAGCTATCTCCCGTCTGCTATGTGGTGGCTGACTCCCCAAAACGTAGACCCCGGCACTGCGCAAAAGAAGGAGGCCACTGTGAGCGCTCTGTATGACGGGGGCGCTCGCTTGCTTTCTGCTGGAAAGGCCGGAGGAAGCGCCGATCTCTCAGGCCGTCTCGCCACGCCGGCAGATGAAGCGCAGCTTTTTGGCAATGATGGACGGCGACCCCACCGTGGATGCCGCCCTAAACCCTAAGCCCTAAACCCTAAACCCTAAACCCCTAAAGCCCTAAAACCCTAAACCCTTAAACTCCAAGCTCTCAACCCGAAGCTCTTCACAGAAAAGTCGAATACCTCTCAAGCCTTGCTGTCATGTGTGGCAAAAGTTTGCACCAGGGGGTTCGTGGCTCAGGGTTTAGGGTTTACTGTAGGGTCCGCTGTCCCAGAATCCTTTAGGAAGAAGGGTTTCAGGTGCAGGGGTTTAGGGTGTGAGAGGTTTAGGATTTAGGGCTCTAGGGATTTTAGGATTTCATAACACCAGGGCTTCAAGGTTGAGAGCTCAGGGTGGGTTTAGGTCTTCTACGTGGGTGAACTGTCTTGAGTACGCCAGGTGAAGCGGAAGTTTCGTGACCCAAGGCGAAGAGTCGACGAACCCTGCGATCCTACGAACACATGAACATAAGCGATCCCTACTCGAGCTTGGAGCTAGGCTTAGGGTTTACAGTTTAGGGTTTAGGGTTACATGATCGACGCCTATTCTAGCTTCATAAGACCCATAGGCTTAGGGCGCAGGGTTTGCGACCGGAAATTTGGGGAAGCGGCCAAATCAGTAATCACCAATCACCGAGGTGGGCAAAACCCTGGCTGCCATGAAGAAGGAGGCTTTCAACCCCAAATCCAGGCCGACGAGTGGATTTGGGCTCAGGGCTTTGGGTTTGCGGTTTCGGCCTCCTACGGGTGTATAATGTTTGTACCCGGTTCTGTAAGCAATGTTTGTAAGCTTGTTCTATCTTTACTGTGTCGATGGGGATTGTGAGGTGCTGTGGTGCCTCATACATTGTCATGTTTCCGTCGGACTCCTGAACGCTTACGAAATTCTGTCAGAAATCCTACAGAACTCGTATGTAAAACACCTATGAAACAGAAAGTTAAAACCCTGAGAGCAATCCCATGTACACGGCCATATCCCAGTTTAGCTGAAGGGCATCTTCGGCTTCAGACTTTTTGGGGTTTAGGTTTTGGGTTTAGGGATTGGGTGAACCCCAACCGCACACCCTCCTATAGTCTCCATTAGTTTCTTTTGGGGGTTACCTTGTAGGATCATGAACATAATCCTGGCTGAACCATTAAAAGGAACTACGGCGGAAACTAGTTTTATCGTACTTTGTTTTATACTACATGATACTATACTATACTGTACTATGCTGTAGTATACGATATTATACCATACGATACGATACAATACTGTTATTTACTATATTATACCATACTAATATTAGTATTAATCCGAATACACATAATTCTAATACTAACACTAATACTAATATTTAGACGAATATTAATACTAGTACTAATACTAATACTGACACTAATACTAATATTAAGACTAGTACTAATACTAATGCTAATACCATTATTAGTACTAGCACTAATACTAATACTAATACTAATACCAATACTACTATTACAACTAGTACTATACTATACTATATTATGCTATACTATACTATACTATACTCTACTATACTATACTATACGATACGACGCTATACTATACGACACTACTATACCGTGGTGTACTGTAGTAAAGCGTGACTCCACTCCAGCCGCAGATCCGCCGAGAGCGTGTATCGGGGTGTGCCGGCGATCGGATCCGTTTTATCCTGAACATAGGAGGCACATAGTCATATCTTATCACGCGGTCCGGACCGATCCTGTCGGAAGTGGAGGCATTTGCTACATGGTTGGCTCGAAGGCAAACTTGAAGAAGCCATCGCTCAGCTTGGTCCTCTGGCCCGAATCCATTTGGAGATGGCGAAATACGAAAAGGGTTTCGCGTCACAAGCAAGCTAGAAAACAAGATACGAGGATATCTTGAGTGTGATGCGGCATTGTCGATGTTTCGGAGCTTCTTTCTGCAGCAGCTCATGAACTACATGATGCCTCCCACACAAGATGCCTTCCGTTGGGTCTTGTTTAAGCATGCTTGGACGAAGTCGATGTGCGCCAAGATCGCACATCTTGATCGACAGGTTGCAGCACCTAAACCTTAAACCCTAAACCCTAAACCCTAAACCCTAAACCCTACACCCAGAACCTGTGAAGCTATTTGGCCGTAGTGATAAAACCTGATCCTCGGAGCTTGGCAGCCCCACATTGGCGCGCCGAGATAGTTGGAGCTCGACTTTGCAAGATCCGATTGCAAGGGAATACAAAAAATGTGTGTATGTATGTGATTGTATGTATCATGTATGTATACGTGTGAAGAGTCCTTGCAGACCTTCTTAGTGCTTTTCAGGGGTTGTTCTAAATTCCGACGTTTTGCCCTACCCCAACAAACAGGGATGTGCATGCTATCATGATGACCAGCGAGATCATGGTCTAGCGCAACCCTCATTTGGGAGTGTTTTCAGGAAGGACCCTCACACAGACCCTAAGACCCAGGATCCATATTATCCGGGCCTGGAGAAAGGAAGACCAGGTGTGTCAGAAGCCCATAATATAGGGGCCTTAACAATTACCTATACCATTTTGGGGGGCTCCTTAAATGAATTTTAGTAAAATATACACCAAAACCCTATTCTAATTATTAAGGCCCTGGCATGTGGAAATTATACGAAAATTATTTTAGGGAACCCCCCAAAACCCGATTCCAACTCTATTTATTAAGGCCCTAAACCCTAAACCCTGAACCCTCAACCCTAAACCCTAAACCCCAAACCCTAAACCCTAAACCCGAAAACCCTAAACCCTAAACGAAAGGAACTTCGATGTGCAGTGGACCGGTGCGAAGGCAGCAGAGGTCGACCTTGTGAGCGGCTTTTCCGCAGTTTTTCAGACGCTTTTCTTCGGGCTCCTTAAAGGGATCTGCGTTTTAGGGCTTAGGGTTTAGGGTTTAGAGTTAAGGGTTTAGGGTTTAGGGTTTAGGGTTTGAAGCACCCGAATCCGAAATATGAGCCCTACAGGGCTCCTTAACGGGATCTGTAAGGGTTTCTATGGGGTTTCTACAAGGTTTCATTTGGATTATTAATAAGGGTTCCATATGGGTACTTCTCTAAATTGGGGCCAGGGCGCCGAGGTGTAGGGCAATTTCAGGGTTAGGGCTTTGGGTTTAGGGTTTAGGGTTTAGGGTGCTTTGAATGTTTTCAGGGTTGGGGTTTAGGGTGCTTTGGGTGCTTTGGGTGCTGTAAAAACCTTACAGAAACCCCTCAAGCCCTCAACTCTCAAGGCTCTGGTATAGGAAACCCCTAAAGCCCTTAACTTTCAAGGCTCTGGGGTCGTCTAACGGCCTTAGGCTTTCGGGGCCAGGCCTGGATTCAGGGTTTCGAGTTGTAAGATTGAGAGTTCTTGTCAGGGTTTAGGGTTTAGGGCTTTAGGGCTTTAGGGCTTAAGGGTTTAAGTGTGTAGGGTTTAGGGTTTAAGGGGTTTAGGGTTTAGGGGTTTAAGGTTTAGGGGTTTTAGGGTTAAGGGTCTAGGATACACTCTAGCCTAGGCCCAAAACCCCAAACCCTAAGACACCCAGATCAGAATTCAAGAACCTAGGCCACCCAAAAGGTCTCTTGCTTGCTTGTGGTCGATCCTTGCTTAAACCCTACACCCTAAGCCCTAAACCCTCAAGGCTTCAACCCAAAAAGCCCCAAACCCAGAGCCCCAACCCCGAAACCTTAATGGTTTAGGGTTTAAGGTTTAGGGTTTAGGCCTTAAACCTAAACCCTGAACGGTTTAGGGTTTAGGGTTTAGGGTTTAGGAGCCCTAAACGGTTTAGGGTTTAGGGTTTGGGCCCTAAGCCCTATCCCCGAAACCCTTGAAGCAGCTACAGAGCCCTGGTAGACTCCTTGAAGGAAGCCTTGCTCTAAAGGAACCCTGCGCCCAAAAGCCCCTTCAAGGGAGGTTTCGGGTTTAACGTAGGGGCCTCAATCATTACCTAGACTATTTTTGGGGGATTCCTTATCATAATTATAGTATACTGTAATATGCCCCAGAACCATCTTCTAGTTATTAAGGCCCCTACATGGGTAGATGACACTATAAAAATGTGAAGGAACCCCCAAAACCCTACTTCCAATTCGAATTATTCAGGCCCACTTAACCCGGAGGTTTAGGGGTTTAGGGCTTTAGGGTTTAGGGTTTAGGGGTCTGGCCCCCTACATTGGGGTTTAGGGTTTCGTGATCTTTCCATGGGCTCTCAGGCACCTACGGGCTCTTGGAGGAGGCCGGGAGTCCGGATACGTTCGGGACTCTAGGGGGGTACCTTTAAGGGGTTAAGGCCTTGAAGTGTCGGTGTTTAGGGTTTAGGGTTTGGGTTTTGGGGTTTACGGTTTAGGTTTTGGGGTTGGGGGTTTAGGGTTTAGGGTTTGGGGTTTGGGGAATTTTAAATCCATGGTTGTGGGTTCAGGATTTCAGAGTATGCGGTTGTTGTGGGGGCGGGGGGTTGCCAGACTTGGGCATGCCAGTGAGACTTCGGAAGCATGGTTCGTGCCGAAACCCTCCACCTCACATGGATGGTTGTCAAAATTACTAAACCCCTAAACCCCTAACCCCTAAACCCTAAACCCTAAACCCTAAACCCTAAACCCTAAACCCCTAAACCCTAAACCCCTAAACCCTAAACCCTAAACCCATTCCCTGAACCCTAAACCCTAAACCCTAATCCTTAAAGGGGGAAAGGGAGCTTATGAAAAACAGAACCTCGACCCCGCACCTGAAAGCTTATCACCCTAACACCGAGACCGCAGACCCCAAACCCTGGTCGCCTCCTAATGTAGGGGCCTAAATAGTTTCCAAAACTATTTTGGGGGTTCCGTATTATACTTGTAGTTTAGAGGCCCCTATGTTACCCTAAACCTTGAAACCCTAAACCTTGAACCTCCTTCCTCAGCTGTTCATCGTAAGGCTCAGAAACCTGAAAAAGCACCCAAAAGCTAAACTTTGCAGGTGGTGTATCCTTACCATTGCCTTGTTGAAACGACGGATTGTGGGATACCCCAACCCTAGGATTGTTGCATAGGTGCCTTTTCCCTAAACCTTGAACCCTTATGAGTCCCTAAGCCCTAAACCCAAAACCCTAAACCCAAAAAGCCCTAAACCCTAAAGGGTCCCTAACCCCAAACCCTAAACCCTAAAAAGCCCCAAGTTGGGACCCTAAACCCTAAACCCTAAAGGGTCCCGAACCGAAAAAACCCAAACCCTAAGTAGGTCTGGATATTCATATGGATATTAGCAGTAAGGTCCCAGCATCACAAAGCAGCTGGATTATTGGCCAGGGCGCGCCGGTGTAGCGGAGCCTGCAGCTTTGCCTCGCTTGCAATTGCAGGATTGTCGGCGAAAGCGCAGGAGTTGCTTCAGGAGGTGGAGTCTAAGGGCAGACGCAGAGTCCTCACGGCAAGCCATACCGAGCTGTATGCGCTTCTTCGACGTGTGGGTCCGGACAACTCAGAAGTCTGGATCCGGGGCAGCACTAAGGATAAAGCTATGCACGTGACATGCGTCTATGTGTTGTGTTCAATGTTTCCCTAAGGGTCCGAGTACCCATTATTTAAGAACTTTGGGGCCTTTTTGGGTACCTAAAACCATAAATAAGGATTACTTGGACCCTTAGGGTTTGTAATTATAAGACATGGACTTTTCCTTTTTTTCCATAAATTTACTTCTGCCACGACGTAGCCGTAGCCCAGGAGCAGTTGCTGCAACTCTGGCTGATCGAGCAGCTAAAGCTTAAAGGGTTCCTAACCCTGAACCCTAAACCCCAAA